CTGGGCTTTGTTGCTGTAGTCTGACTGTCAGTATGGGAGACGAATGGCGTAACGGCTAGCAGACTAAGGGAAACGTACCATGCATTAGCAACATCGAGCTCCAGCTGCAAGAACTTCTTTGCGTATGCAGCATCCGCACGCAAGCTGACTTCCCGCTTCCACCGTGCCTGCATCCACTCCATCTGTAGGGTCATGCCGCGAAGCTCCTTGGTGTGCTTCGCATCCGCGTTCTCAGCTGCCCGGATGACAGTCTCCAGTGCCTCGTCCGTCTCTCTCATTCTCTCATCGATAAAGTGGACGTTGCGCTGGTCCTTGGCGTCTGAGGCAGCCTGAGACTTGAGGTCGCGGATATCCTTCTGCAACTTCTCAGCAGTCAGGCGGTAAGCTGCGCGTTCGCTGCGCGCCCTCTCTAGTTTACGCCGGAACGACGCCTCAGCGGCCATGAGGGTGTCAATGGTCTCCTGCTGCTGGATCACGTCGTGTTCCAGTGCATCAGCCTCTGACTGTGTCCTCCGGAGCATATTTTGGAGATCCTTGCGCTCGGAAGATGACATGTTGCCGACGTCACGGCGGCTATGACCGACGATTTGGCGATCCTGCTCAGCCCTCTCGAGCTTCTGCTTTAGTCTGCCCAAAGCTTTCTCGTGAAGGGCAGCGGCTTCTTCAGACTCCCGCTCCGCATCATCAAGAGCCTGCTCGAGGGAGAGCTTTTGATCTTCGAGTTCTTCAAGTTGGGTCTGGAAGTCTCGCTCGAGTTGTGTCGCCCTGCGTTCGGCGTCGCGTACCTTTGTCTTTAGGTCGTGGATGGACTGCTGTGCCGAAGACAGTTGGTGGCGAAGCTCCACGACCTCGGACTTCCTAGCCGAGGGGCTTGATGACGCTGGTGACATTATCAGGCGGGACATTTCAGCATCGTGGGCTTTGCTCTCGAGCTCTGTGATTTGCTTCTTGAGGCCTCTGACGACGTCCTTGTGCGCTGCCTCACGTTGAAGGTATTCCCTCTCCTTTTGCCGCGCGGTTGAAAGATCGCGGCGGATGAGGGATATTTCGCTGTTACCTTCACCCGAGTTGTTGGCGGGCAGTTGCTGTGTCATCGCCAACTGATCCTCGTAATCCTTGATACGGCGCTCAAGTTCGCGGATGGTGCGTCTTGTAGCAGCGGATTCATGACCCTCCGACGAAGAGACTTCCCGGAGCCTGACCTGGAGTTGACGAATCTCCTGGTTGAGACGATCCTCCTCTTCTGCAGCCTTCTCAATCTCCTCTTCGAGAGACTTCTCAGCCAGCTGCATCTGGTCTATCAAGATCTTATTCTCATCCTTGAGTCTTCGCACCTCGTTGTCCAGCTTCATCTTGGCTGTCCTCAGGTCCAGTCGCTCCCGATCGACGCCTAGTGTCTCCTCGCCGTTGTTGTGCATGCGTTTCATCTCACTTTCGACCTCGTCTCGTTCTGCTTGTGCCTCGGCCAAAGAGCTTCGCAAAGAATGCATCTCGAGGTTGAGATTTGCAAGTTGATCCTGGAGTGTCTGCTTCTCGCGAGAAACCTTAGTTGCCTGGGCAGTTGAGTCCAAAAGCTGTTTCTGCATTTGATCTTGGAGGGATTCCTTCTCCCCATTCAACTTGGACACGAGAGAGGTTGCTTCGTCAAGCTGCGCTCGGAGGCGGTCGATTGTCTGGTTGGACTTCGTAGCGTTTTCCTGTGAAGTCGATGCTGAGCCTCGAGCTAGATCTGCTGAACGGCGAAGCTCATCCAGTTGTTGACTCAGCGCATCGCATTCTTTCCTAGCCGCCTCCAAATCCTCCCGAGAGTGCTCGGATTCCTCGTCGAGAGTTGTCTGCAAGACTTCGACCTCGTCCTCCAGTGCCTCGACTCTCTCTGTCTGCGCTTGGTAGTCGAGCTGCGTTTGACGGAGTTCGTCCTGAACTTGGGAGAGCTCGTTGCGCAGGTCCGTGAGCATGGCTTGCCGTGTCTCGAGGTTTTGCTGGAGATCATCGATTTGTCGGCTTAGAGATGCCTGCTCGTCTTTGTGGCGCTGGGCTTCGCTCTCAAGAGCTTCCTGTAATCTTGATTCCTTTGACGACAGGTTACCCTCTGCTTCGCGCAACTTTTCGATAGTTCGCTCTAGCCCGGCCGCCTTTTCTTCCGCCCGTTTTCGTCCAGACTCCAGCGTTTGACGGTCAGTCTCCCATTTTTCACTATCATTATCGTAAAGGTTATCTTTCTCGCGAATCTCGGCTTGCAGATCGGAGATCTCGTCGTTGAGTCGGTCGATCTCGCCCCTGTACTGACTGCGAATGTCACGTTCAATCTCCAAGGCGTGGTCTCTCTCCTGAGCGAGACTCTCTTCCAGTTCGTCAACAGACTGCTGAAGGCGTTCCACGTCGCGTTGCAAAGACCTTGACTCGTTCGTCAATGCCTCGTGCCGAGTCTGCAACAGGTTCTTTTCGTCCAACGTTTGTTGCAATTCGCTCCGAAGGTCCTCCACCTGATTGAGTAATGACTGGTGCTCCCGGTCGGAAAGTGCTCGCTCCTGGCGGCCCTCCTGAGCGGCTGCCTTCAGTTCATCTCTCTCTCTGGTCATCTCAGAAAGCTGCTTCTCGATCCTTCCAAGTTGTGATTGGTTTTCTCGGTCTGCAGCTTCGCGTTCACGGAGACTTTCTTTGGCGGCGGCCTTGAGGCTGTCATTCTCCTTGACGACGTCAGATAGTTGCTTCTCAAGATCCGCGAACCTCGTGTCTGCCTCTTCCAGCTCAGTCTGTAACCGCAGAAGCTTCTCTTCTTTCTGGCGGGAGAGGCCCTTGGTCATGACAGATTTGTTCGCCAATTCCTCCTGAAGCTCATCGAGGTCGCCCTTGGCCTGCTCCTTGTCCGCAATGGCCTGGTTCAGCTTGCCCTTCATGTCGTCGACTTGCTCCTCCAATCGGCGCACGTTCGTTTCCAGGTCGTCAATGGTATCTCTTGCATCATCCAAATCGTCCTTAGATTGCGCATTCTGCTCAAGCTCAATCATCCGCCGTTGTGTATCCTTCATCTTGTCTTCCATATCCTCCAACTTGGACTTGAGGTCGTCAATTTCGTCTTCATGATCGCCGATGATGCGGTCCTTCTCGCGGATCTCGGCCTCAAGATCGCCAACCTCGTCCTGAAGTTTGTCCACTTGGCCTTGGTCTTGTTGATCCCGATCCAGTTGGCGTTGCATGTCGTCAAGGTCGGCTTCCCTGTCCTCCAAAGCGCGTTGCAGGCGCTCAATCTCGGCCAGCTGCTTTTGGTCCGCATACTTCTTTTTGGCCTTCTCCTGCAGCTCCATCATTTGTTGACGGTAACTCTCAAGGTCCTTTTCCGCCGAAGTCAGATGCTTTTTGTACTTGTGGAGCTCCCTCTGCATTGTCACTTTGTCGACCTTGAGATCCGTGTTCTCCTTCAGAGCGGCCTCGCTAAACCCGGGGCCGGCCTTCCGAAGAGCCTCCTCGAGGAAATGAATCTTCAACTTGAGGCCAAAGTTTTCCTTCTCGATCTTATCGATGACATTCTCCTGCTCTCGTAGCGAGAGTTGATTACCATCCTGCAACGGGCCTTTGCCATCTCGACGTGGTAATACGACTAGCGGTGTAGATGTCGTGCTTGTATTATCGACTTCGGGGAGCGGTGTGCGGTCCGCAAAAGAACGGGAGTGGTACATGGAGGTGTCGATATTGGGAATTGGCGTCATGTCTCCATCGAGCTGATCGAGTGCAGGTGTGTTGGGCACGGCGCCGTTCTCCTTGCCGAAGCCGCGGCGCGCGCTATTTCTTGTTGCAGACTTGAGCATTGGGGTGAACTCTGCCCCTCCCAGCCCTGCAGGCAGGTTCTTTCGGTCCATGAAGGGAGCGCGACCCCGCGGGGTGCGAAGGTTGATGCCGCCAGAACGGCCATTGCGCAATTGCTGGAGCAAGTTGTTGTTGCCTTTTGCCGGTGACTGGAAGGAGGCTTCTTGCGAAATGTCGAAGTCTGGCTGTCTGAGATATGTCGCGTCGCCAACGTTTGTGCGCGGCGTGTCGAGGCCGTCGACACCAGGCTGGACCATCTCGACCGCGTTCGACTAACAGAGGGGTGAATGGATGCGCGAGTTAGAAATGTTGTCTCGTGGTAGTGAACATGGCACTAATTTGGGGGGCCGAATGTAGGAGGTCTGAAGAGCAGGCGCTGATGCAACACAAAGCAAGCAGGAAATCGAAGCGACGTAGAGCAGTAACTGCGCGATAAGAGCAAAACCTGGATCGTGATAATTAGAGCCCGGTCAGTCGCGGTGTTGAAAGTGGGATTCGAGGTGTACCCTGGACCCAAGGGTTCGCGGTCATCGAGTTGGCGCGTTATTGTTTACTGGATACCTGTTTGGGAATAGCGCGGGCACACCTCACTTTGCTGGGGACGCCCGGGCACGGTTTTTTCCCTCCAGCCTTTGTGCCCTACCATAGGTATGTGAGTTGCTTTCGGCCCACACTCAGCCAATCACAGTGCCTACCTATGCTTGCCTCCCCGCAGCGCATGCTCAATGGGTAGGTAGGTACCTGGTGTCCCACACAGTAAGCTGGATCCACCTTTTTCTTTTTTTCCCCTTCCATGGTGACGGCCGACGTCAATGGAAGAGCAGCGACGTGGAGTGCCCTGTATGTGGCGGGCAGCTTATGCGACCGCCACAGCTTGAGACACTTGAGGTGGGAAAGAGACTTTGATTTGTGATGCAACCACTCAGCCGGGAGCGGCATTCCAAAGTCAACTTCTTCACCAATGTCGCTTCCCAAGCCACCGTTGCACAGGACTTTTAATACGAACAACCTGGCCCTTAACTCACCCTCCTCGAAATCGGGGACGTTCAACTTACGCCTGCACCTTCCCTTGCAATACACGGGCGCTGGTATAAGTCTTGCAGACTCCGCCGCATTCACTGCCGTCATCCGTTCCGATCTTCGGGTTTCCGACGGTGAGGCATTGTGTGTGGCCCCTGGCCCCTCCCGCCGCCATGCTCTCTCTCGCCCAGGTCCCGGATGAGATACTTCTCCAGATCCTTCACTACGTCTCAGCAGAGGACACCCTGCTCTCTGTTCACCCTTTATCAAGACGCTTACACCACCTCGCCAACGAGCCTATCCTATGGCGGTACTACTGTCTGCACTCATTCAAGTATTGGCACCCGGAACATCAGTTTCGCGACAAACTACTAGAGCCGGCCTCCAAGGTATCCTGGAAGCGTCTTTTTCTCTGCCGTATGCGACGTAACGCTAGAGTTGCCAGCCTCTTCGACGGGGTCCTGGCAACTAAGCATGGCCGGGTTAAGAAATTTGAAGAGATATGCCTGCTGGGTCTCGATGCGAAAGACTTCCTCTTAAATCAAGCACAGACGCCTGAGCTGGCCGAAGATGTCTTATCTCGGAGGTATGCGACACGTGCGAGTTTGACGTTGGATTGCTGTTGGCTGACTTAATCGGCATCAGGTACTTTAGCAACGCAATGCTCGCCAGCATTCGCCGCGGCGTCGCCATTCAAATATGGGACAGCTTACGGGGTTCGGAAGCAGAAGAGGCATGGAGAACCAACCAGACCCCAAGAGTCGTCCCTCGCAGGCTGGAGCGTGCCCTGGCTGCGTTTGACATGTTTGTCCTCCCCGATGACGTTGGTGACGTTGACGATGTAAAGCTCGCCCCTGCGCCTTTGTGGCTGCTGGCTGACAGATCATAGGTTTCTAAAACACTGAATGTGCTGGCAGATGAGTTCATCACCGACCACCCTGATTTCGGCGGCATGTGCATCCGCGATCAGGCATTGGCCTTGAATAGATGGCTAAGATCAAAGAATTTGACCGGTATGAGCAATCCGGAAACAAATTACCGCAATTTGCGAAACTGCCTCATCGGACATGCGCTGCGCGATGAGGCTCATCAATCACTACCTATGGTGTCGGCCGCCATCTTCTGCTGCATTGGGGAGAGACTAGGCATCAACGCTCACTGCTGCGCTCTCCCGGGACATGTGCTCGTAATGGTGTTTGCCACCAAAGATACAAGACTTGACGGGTCTACATTGACAAATACCCAGAAGCCGCTTGAGAGAATGTATCTGGATCCGTATGGGGGCGACGAAGAGTTCAGCAAAGAGACTCTTCGGCACTTTATATCTCAGGTGGGATGGCGTAGCCTAGATGTCGACACAATGGCGCCCGCAGCCGTGTCGACAATGATCGGGCGGTTGGCTCACAATATTCGACATACAAATCTCGTTATGACTTCCCAAGATGTTTCGATTGAGAGACTCGCCGGGCTAAGGACGGGTACACCTCTTCAAAACATGGAGTTATCTGTGTACGCCGCTGCATGGGCAACAACACTGCTCGATCCAGGAGCGTTTGTTGACGTTACGTCGCATTTCGCACTCCGTTTCAACTCCTTGAGGTTTGATGATGCTTGGCTGGTTGAAAAGATCTATTTCAATCGTCCTCAGCCCCATGGAGATGTCTTCCTGGCCGCACCTAACCCGGAGTATATACTTCGACTTATAAGACGGGCTGATGAGCAGCGGCCCGTACTCCGCGAACCCCAGAATCACATGGAATACCAAATTGGACATGTCGTCAGACACGGCAGGTACGGGTTTGTGGCAGTCGTCATCGACGGAGAGGTGCCGCCTTCAGGGTCAATTCTCTACTACAGGCTGTTGTGAGTTTCCTCCTAAACCTTTGGAGTGGAGAGTGATGCGCCAAGACTAACACCCAAGAAGAACACCTCCGAACATGCAGGGAACCTTTTCCCTTGTTAAAGCCTCAAGTCTCGAGCTTATACGGGATCCAGACGAGGCGGCAGGCGCCATGTTTACAGACACAGGACTCTTTTTCAAGCGGTTTGATCGGAAAAGCTGCAGGTTCATTCCATCGAATGATGAGATGGTCTACACGCCATTGTGATGATTGGAATCAATGTCCTCAGGTTAGCACATCGTCCGAATTGAAGCAATGCAAACTTTTCAGCCGTCATTGCTCCCATATGTCTTAGACTATGAAACGAGTGCCTCACTGGATGCTCTTGTGTTCTGGATAGACATAGCTCTATCCAGCGCATCCATCTGTATACTTTGCCCACAAACCAAACGCCAACGCAGTGCAGACTTTCCCTCCATCCTCGTGAACTCCCAACTCCTGAGTCGCGCCCCGAAAAAATCACAGATTAGCAGCCCAGTCGGCAAGAACTCCATGGTCCGCAAGCTTTTGCACCCACTGGTGGATCGCTAGCGTGTGATCCTTCTGCCGTCCATGTACGCGATCTTCGTCTTCCTTCATGAAGGCGATCTCCCCGTTATATTCCCCCATCAAAGACTTCTGCTTCGTAACCAAATCACTATAGACCTCGAAAAGCTCCATTGCTTCCATAGAAGGGTTGCTGAGCTTCCTCTCCAAACTTGGATTCATGGCTGCTCGTTCGATATCTTCTCGCTCGATCCCAAACCCAGCAAGACGATCTTTTTCGTCAGCCCTCAATGGTTGGTCGTTGCCAGCAACTAAGGTCTCCCATTCGCCGAAGTGTTTGGTGCGACTGTTAAGTACTTCAAATGACCGAATTGTGCTCGCAAGTTTCCCAGATATGGTGGCGAGTGGATTCTTGCAGAGGGCCAGGAGGTTGAAAGAGAGTGCGCTTTCTTCGAACTGAAGCATGCGCGCCTGGATGTCGGGACGAACCAAATTTGTCCAGTGGACGCCGTCTTCCAGTGGTCCAAGACATACCGGTCGAGTTTTGAGGCCGTCAAGCTCCCACACCGAGCCATTAGCTGGGACGTAGGCGATGAAGTGGTATCCCGATTCCGAGTTGACCTTCTGCTTCTTTGTCTTCCTCGCCTTGGCCGGCCCTCTGCGCTGCTTTTTCTTCGACTCGGTGGCTTCGTTTTCAAGAAAGAGATCTGCATTCAGGTGGTCCATTCTGCGGGTGAAAGAGTTATGTACAGAGCGTATGAACGTGTTGGAGCTGAGGGCATGACCGCGCAGCGGTGTGCTGAGATGACTAGTGGCGTCCTTGAACTCCTGAAGCTTCGTGCCGAGGTCGACCCCGGCGCTATTCATCAGGATGTTGGTCAGGGCAACCGTGGCGCACGCATTGTCCGTCGTCTATGAAAACGGTCAGTCAAACACTGGGCAAAGGCAAAATCTTGGGCACAAACCTGATTGGCGAACCATAGATCTCGCCCGTCAACCACTTCGTCGTCCTCGTAGTTCTCCGAGAAGTATTGATATAGAAAGATGAACCCATACACGGGCTGGGGCATAGTCGCGACGTAGTCTTCGTCAACGGAAAAGACCTCTTGGACCTTCACATCTTTTACGCCCATCTCTCGGATAATGGCGTTGAAGAACGCCTATGCTGAAAGGTCAGGTCTTACACTGCACGCAGAGAAAACAAGATACGCACCGGTTCCGACTCCACCTCGCACCAGCCTTCCCACTCCTGAAGCTCGTCTTTGCTGATGGGTTCCAATGCTTCCCGGAGTAAGATGTTCGATTGCCTAGCTTCTCGAGTTGCGACGGCGCTCGTTGCAGCGGCGGCGGCTTCTGTTGCCTTTCGCTTAGAGTTTCGCCGAGAATGATCCATCGCTGATTCTTCCATTGCCCCGTTTGGCAACTCCTTCCTTTTTCTGGTGTTGGCGTCTGGCGTGTCGAGAATATGTAGGTCAGCCAGAGCAGGGTCGACCGCTGCCCCTGGACTGGTCCCAATGTTATAGATGTCACGCTCAACTGCCGGGGAAACATCATCGTCAGAGATTGACCGGGAAAGCTTTTGCCCCTTCTCAACTGCGACTGGTTCCGCCTTGCGGCTTCGCAGGTGTATCCGGCCCATGTTGGGACGACCCGTTCCTAACATCGTGACGACCGGTCAAGATATCGAGATGTAGTTAATAGAGAGCTGGGGTATGCAGGAGAATGAAAAGAGGATCCTATGAATGAAACGTGGCCAGCCCAGGAGCAATTGTGGCAAGACGGCCATATGGCGCCGGGTCGATGTCGATGTGGTAGGCAAAAAGGGAAGGTGTAAAACCCCTCGACAACGCGAATGATGACGTCAAAAAGGAATCAAAGCCTTTCTCGTTCATGAAACAAGGAACTTCATCTATGCATGGAAACATGCGTTGGGTGAAAGAATTTGTACGAGCTTGTCTTGAACGAAGGTGGCCGAAAGAGACGCGAAGTGAAGAAAGCGACTGATAAAGTGGTTGAGTTGAGGACGAAACAGGACGCAGAGAAGGCTGACTGTGACCGTTTCATACGACCATATCAACTAATGAGGAATTCTGGAAATCGGTTAAGAAAGAGAAAACCATGCGTTCGACCAGAGGAAACGTCATAGGAATCGACTAGGCATGAAGAGAAAAAGCGAGGTTCATAAAGACGTACATACCTGGCGCTTATCAGCTGAGGTATCAGCCTTAGAACACACAGAACCAACGCTATCCCAGTCCTTGCTGAGGTCGCGTACCAATGATTCTAAACACTTTTCTTCGCCTACAATAATAAAACGGGGTTAGAATTCGTGCTGTGTTCAATCTAGCATGGGCGGTCTGTCAAGAGAAGCTCCGAAGCATGATGGCGGGGATTGAATGTGAAGGGCGACGTCAATCAACCCAGCGCTTTCCATAACGCAGCGCAGGCGGACCCCCCAGCTTTTTGGGGGCTGAATAAAGCTGGTTGGCACGCTCCACTGTCTGTTTCCCCGTCCACAGGTACCTACGGGTGCTCGCACAGCCAAACACACAGCCAAAAACCTGTAAACAGCTGTCGCCCTGTTAGTATCCGCTATTTGGCCCTTGAGACGCACTGTAAGCCAATCAAAACATCCCGCGTCATCGCAAGTGGGTGTTGTTGCTGGGCGCGTTTGGACGTGACGAGCATTCACAGGAAATTTTGAAGCTCTGCGTTCAGCTGCCAGATTCTCCAGCTTCACGACGCCAAGAGCAACTTGCATCGCCGGGCAAGCCCTTTCCATACTCCTTCGACCTTCCTGATCTAGTTGCAAGGCTTCCGTTATTCTCCGGCGACCTCGACCACATCCAACGATCGTATGAAGCGCTCCTAATTGCGGCATGCGATGAGCGCAACACCGAGACAGCGGACTGGTGGTTTCCCACAAACACCAGCGACCGCGGCCCCAGGCAGATCCCGACGTCAAGATCCCGATCCAAACTCATCGCTATCCTCGCAAAAGTCCACGCGGACATCATCGTCATCCCTCCCCTTGGCTCCCGAGAATGCCTCGAGAGGCGCCCCTCCATCGGAACCCGTCATTCCCCTGACAATCCTCGATGCACCACAACAACGCACCTACGCTTGTGCGATATACATTGGCCTTTTGGCATGGAGGTTCTACGACTGGATCAAGCTGGTTGAGGACAACGACACTTCGGCCTGGCTGTTTTTGAAATGGGTCTTCATCGACTTCGGATTTCTCTTCGGCCTGCCTGAAATGAGGATACCATGGCTGGAGCTTTCGCAACCTGTTGTCATGGCTATTTTCCTCTTCCATGCCTTCTTCAACTTCATGTTGATGTTCAACGTTCCCGTGCGTCTGCCGATGCCAAGCTCCCGCCTTGGGCCTTGAGCAAAGAAAAAACTGGGTTAACTAACTTGAGGTGCAGATTCCACTGCAGCCATGGCTCGTTGGCTTCATGAAGGTTTTCTACGATCGGGAAGTGGCCGTATCCGAACACACCGTCAAAGTCTCGAGCATCTTGCACAACCATTCGTTGATCATGGGAAGGCAGATCATCAATATCCTCCCAGAAGGGTCAGCCGTACTCAACTTTGAGCAAATTCCTTTCTGCATCGGTGAGGATCACGACACGGTCAAGCTGCCCATCCAATTTAATTCGACCATTCCCGCCGAAATGGAGCTCATTCGCATCGACCTTGACACCAATCAGGAGGAAACGATGAGGTTGTCTAGCCGGGAGGTCAAGAAGATTGCGAAGCAGATCAAGGACCAGACGGTGGATTCCAACCCTGTCGCTGTTGCCATCGAGTACTCGGTTAAGAAAACGGGTGTCTACCGTCTTGGCAAGGTACTGGACGAGTACAAGCTTGAGGTTCAGCGCGCTACGAAGGATACCTACGTTGTCCCCTGCCCGAAAGCTGCATTCCGCACTCCCGATGATGCAGGCCGATGTATCAGGGACTTGTCGGATCTTTTCATTGACGTCACCGGAACACCGCCGTTGAAGATTCAGTACAGTCGCAGGATCAACGGTAACGACCGCAGCTTTCACTTTCAGAGCCTGCAGCCGGATGACTACATGTCGCCCTTACTCGGTTCGCCCTCTTCACAGCTGACCCGCGGGAACGACGATGATACTTCTTGGGTGAAGCCTCAATCCGTGGCTGTGCGACTCAACGAAACTCTGGATTCCGCAGGAGATTGGCAGTATGCCGTGGATGAGGTTCATGATGGTTTTGGCAATGTCCAGAAATATGTTCAGAGTCCCGAGGAGGCTGACGTGCGTCCCCGGCCTAAGCACCTCGTGCGCAACTTCTTGGTCAAGCAGCGCCCCAAGGCTAGTCTGCGAGGATGCGACTTGCGGAATCCCATCAAAGTAGCAAAGGACCATCGGGCCAAGCTGCCAATTAACTTCTCGATACCGGAAAAGTCGTCCCCGGACACTTCCCACACTTTGACCTGGGAGTTTTCGCCAGTCGATTCTCTGACGAACAGCGGAGATCATGGAAGCAAGGTTTCCATCGGTTCCTACGCCGCCAAGAATTCCCATGACAAGCCATCAGTCTTGGAGCCTGGTCTCTACACGCTCAAGTCAGTGGTTAGCGGATCGTGCGAGGGGGAGATCCAAGAGCCCTCCTCATGTCTGTTGCTCAACCCTCTCGAGCCCCAGCTATCCTTGCGGGCGGAGGAGATCCCCGACAAATGCGCCGGCAACTCCGTTGGACTTCGTGTGGACTTGGATCTTATCGGGACCCCGCCCTTCCAAGTCCGGTACGACGTTGTTGATCAGAATGGCAACGTCAGAAGAGAGCGTGTCGATGTCAGCGGACTCAGACAGCAAATCGAGCTGAGGCCGACGGCTGCAGGCCATCACAAGTACATCTTCAAGCAGATTGACGATGCCATCTACAAGGGGCAACCCTTGAGCGGACCTAACATGGTACTGGAGACGGATGTGAAGCCTGCCGCTTCCGCAATAATTCAACATTCTACGGGAACTATCAGCGCCTGTCTTGAGGAGCAGGTCGAGGTCGATATCTTGCTCCTGGGAGACGCTCCCTTCTCTTTGGAGTGGGAAGTTGTTCACGATGGCAAGCGCAAATCCGAGCGCGTCACCGATATCCAGGACAACAACTACAGAATCAAGACCAAACCCCTGGCCAAGGGTGGCGAATACACTCTTGCTCTCAATAGCGTCCAGGATAAATCTGGCTGCCGGACGTTCCTCAAGGATGAGCTTAAGGTCTCTGTCCGACGGCAACGGCCCAGAGCAGCATTCGGCCTGGTTGAAAACAAGCGAAACATTATGGCGGTCGAGAACACCAAGGTTGATCTGCCACTTCGTCTTCAGGGCGACGGTCCTTGGACTGTATCGTACCGCAATGTTGAAGCCGGTGATGTTATTCTCAAGAAGACGGCGGGGAACGCCAATGAGATCCTTACTGTCAAGTCCCGCGGCACCTACGAAATCATTGATGTCGCCGACAGCTGTCCTGGCATTGTCGACCCCCAGGCATCCCAGTTCAAGGTTGACTGGTATCCTCGCCCTGAGATCAAGCTAGTCCAGACTGATACCATAACTTCGGATGCAGCTGCATTTGTGAAGCGTGATGTGTGTGAAGGTGATATCGATTCGTTCGAGGTCAGCCTCAAGGGTAAGATGTTCATCTCATTCCACAGAGCTCCGGACTGACAATTTGGTAGGTTCGGCCCCTTTCCGTGTCGAATACGATCTTCGCCACAAGCCCTTCCCGGGAACTGGTTCTGGTAAGAATTCTGGATCCAGCATCCGGAAGGAATTCGATACCGCTCTCAATAAGGCATCCATTGGCATGGATACCTCGAAGCCTGGAGAATATGCGTACAAGTTCTCCGCGTTAGCAGATAATCTCTACAACAGCGACAGAAACTTCAGCCCTCTCACCCTCAACCAGCGGGTTAACGCCAAGCCGTCCGCCTCCTTCGTGAAGCCTGGCCAGTCGTTCAAGTATTGCAAAACGGAGCAAGAGAGCGAGGACACCATCCCCATTACGCTAAATGGTGTCGCTCCTTTTTACGTGGAAATTGAGATTAAGCATCACAGCGGCACTGTCCCTGAGACGTACAGAATCCCGTCCATCCAGTCTAACTCTTACGGCATTCACATACCCAGACACCACTTGCGCCTCGGAATTCAACATGTCCGCATTCGCGAGGTTAGAGATGCTCGTGGCTGCCAGAAGAAATATGAGATCGGAGCGCCGACCGTGCAAGTCCACCTTTATGACGCGCCCGCAATCTATCCCCTGGAGAGCCGAGAGGACTACTGCGTCGGCGAACGTATCGCTTACACGCTCTCCGGCACGCCTCCCTTCGAGATCTGGTATGATTTCCAGGGGCACCAACGCAAGGCCAAATCGGGCACAACCAACTTCCGCCGTATCGCCGAATCTCCTGGCGACTTCACCATCACCTCCATCTCTGACAAGGCATCAGAGTGTCGTGCCTCTGTTGACATTACTAAGAAGATTCACCCACTCCCCGCCGTCAAAATTAGCAGGGGCAGACAGACTCGCGTGGATATCCATGAAGGCAACGAGGTCGAGATCCTTTTCGAGTTCTGGGGCACGCCGCCGTACGAGTTTACGTACACTCGAAGCTCCAACGCCAAGAAGGGCCAGAAGAGCGTGGTGCTTGAGACCCGACACGACGTTTCGTACGAGAGCAGCAAGATCATCCGTGCAAGCCAAGAAGGAACGTACGAGGTGGTCGCCATTAAGGACAAGTTCTGCGCCTTCTCTACCCAGCAGGTCGCAGACAGCAGCCGGGACCAGAAGCTCCTGCAGTAGATGACTTGAATGAACTCGGGGGTTGTGCGGGTTTTAATGGACTCACGAAGGGGTGGGGATGTTTGTGTGCATACGAGCGTCTTGGTGTGCATAGGCATTTTATATCATGGCATGGCGTTTCATCAAGGGAAATCAGGTTGAATAGGACTATAATCAGCATGACCAAAGACCTTTTCTTTTAATAGGCATCGGCTCGGAAACAATTGACTGAGCATTTTAATACTTGGTGTGATCCTTCGATCGCTGACTTTTATCTACCATTTCCCGGTTCGCTATGCCAACACATCAAACATGTACAAATGTATTTCCCTGTACCTATGACATATCCTCAATTCTTTTTACCAAGTCGCCCCCGATCCTTGCAATTTCGAGCAAGACAGCGGGTTTGTTGACTTCAACCACGTCGTCTTCTTCAATATCCACTTGACGGAAGTTGTACGGCAGACCTACGCGGAAGTTTTGTCTCCGCAGCTTGGGTTGCCAGATGGCACCAATGACTGAGTCTTCGGGAGCGCCGTGGAAGAAAATGAGAGTATCCTCGTACGCCGTCTGCAGCTCGTTGAGCAGGACCGCCGCCGGTGACCTACTCAGGGGCAGGGGCACCTTGCCCGTACGCGCGTCCAGATTCTTAAAGAGAGAGTGGCGAATGCCGGCCTCGGCAGCGGCATCGCGGACCACGCGCTTCAAGGCTGAGGTCGATAGATGGATGAGCACGTCATAGTCGCTGAGCGAGGGCTGGAAGAGTTGAGCGACGTCGAGGGCGATGCCTTGCTCTCTGATGAGCTTGCTGGCGGCCTTGGCGAGACGAGTCATGCGGGTTGCGAGGAGTTTGGAGGGCCCGTGGCGGGTGTAAGCCAGCCCTGAATGGTCGTGCGGGGTGGCGACGAAAAGGACAGCGTGGTTCATATTGGGATCGCGAGCACGCCAAGCCTCCAGGTGTTTTTGGACGACGGATCTATCTTCTGCGGACATGTCGTCTGAGGAGTCAACAACGAGGGGCTCATCGCGCCAGTCCCATCTCGAGAGGAAGAGGATAGTGCGTAGGAAGCCTGACATGGCGCTAGACGGGGTCTTCCAGGGGTGTGGCTGGAGGAACACGCGCAAGACAAGGAGCTCAATGAGCTCTTCACTGATGTGGCTGGCAAGCTTGTGGGCGTTGAACCAATGCTTGACTAGACGAATTGTGGTTGACAGCGTGGTGAAGCGGGTGCAGTAAGTTGTGATCGTCTGCGTGTGCAGCGGGAGGTGCTTATACCGCCAGTTGATGTCAAAGAGGGCTTCCTCGGCGTCCGCTCTCGTCTGCGGGTCGAGCGTCTTGTTCTTGGCTTGCCTGTCAAGGAGTGTCTCCTCCGGCTCGGCAAAGATGCGCAATCGGAACGCAGCACCGGTGTCGTAAATGATGTCGAGATACGCCAGGTTGTCGATCTCACGAGCTGCGTTGTCGCGGCCCAGGCTAGTTGTGATGTTGTCATTGACAGCCTTCAATCTTCGGTCGATGTCAAGCAGAAACTCGATCTTGGTTTCCTGGATTGCGACCAAGTTCTCCGGCCACTTGCTCGAAACCTCAAAATACAAGTTGACATCCATTGATGAAGGGGTCTTTTGGGAGGCGGCAAAGGGCGCGGTGACAGAGGAAGATCGAAGTTCTGGTACAATAGGCGACAACTGCCTAATGGAGAGGGGTAAGTCTTCCAAGCCGCGAATGTCTGACTCTAGGGCTCGGAAGGCCTTCCTCGCCACCTCGAAGGCATCCCTATCGAGAGGGGTGATGCCTAGAGATGAGGGGGGTTCGGCATCATGGAATCGAAGGTCACCAGGACCAAGGCTCAAATGGCGTTGAAGAGCGTATCGAACGATTTCCTCGCAAATGCCGGCCGCGGTCTTGTTGTTCCACGGTACGCACTCAAGAATGCTGCCATCCTGGAAACGTCGCAGCTCGGCCTTGTCGCCCCAAAACTTCCGGAACTTGGCCGCCTCCTTTTCGAGCTCAGCGGAGGGACCGTACTCCATCAACCGGCCCATGTTAGCCGGATCAAAAACGACGCCAACCTGGATGTTAGCAACGTTGCGGGGCTCTTTGCCTGCAATGGGCCACGATGCAGTATCTTTTGTCTGGAAGTGAATTAACTGCGATCTGTCCTTCAGGGCCTTCTTGAGAACCGAATACGCCTTGAAACTAAGATCCCAAACAGCTCCACGTCGATCGGGGGTATTGCTCTTCGAATGGCTGTCAACGTTGCGAATCTCGAAGATGGCGTCGAAAAGCTGCAATGGCACGTCGGCTTTGGTGATAAATGTCGGCTCGAATTGGTTGGCTAGAGGGTCATTGAGCACCTCCATGGTCGTGCAGGCGTGGAAATGAAGCAGGCTCGCTGACCAAGGGCTCATCTTATACAGAATGTTTACCTCACGCTCGGGATCGAACATGACAGGGCCATTCTCGCGAATAATGTCGGTCCCCTGCTTGTAAGTACCGAAAACAAAAGGCTTCTTTGAGAACTCAGTGGAGGCGAGAAACTGCACCGTGGCCTTGAAAAGCTCGGTGCTGCTCAACGCCGAAGATAGAGCGGGTTGGCCATTGCGACCGCCTGTTTGGAGAAGAAGTGCCATCATGACCGCCCACTCAAAATGACCAAAGCCGCCGGCAGCAAGCGAGCTCCCCAAGCCTCTCTGTTGAAGCCAAATCCTCCCTAGTATGCAAGCATCCGTGAAAGCTGCGCAATCGGTCTTGGCACGCGTGAGAACGCGAAGATAGGTGACGAAGGTATCCTCGGCCTTGACAGTAGAGCTGTAAAAAGGCGTCGCCTCTTTGGAGTTCTCGGGTTGTCCAATACGGTTGCTGTTGGCTGCGGGATGTAACTTTGTCTTAGGAAAGATACCTCCAGGGGCACAAGGGATGATTCGGATGACGAAGTCTACCTTTGACGCCTTGTCTTCCTCGCTAGTCGTGCCGTTGTTCGGTCGAATGGTCAGGACTGGCAGTAGCGTGTTTCCGTTCAAGTACTCGAATTCCAGATCAGCGGAGTCTCCCAGCTCCTTGCGCAGACTTGCCGCAATGTTGGCAATGTAGTATGCTCTCCTGTAGAAGTAGCGCATGCTCTGGTAATCTCTTTCTTGGAAAAGCGACGCTGGCATCTGCACGATCATGTCCACGCCCTTGTTTGCCTGCGCCTTGACCATGGTTCTCGAGACGTAGCTACCGACGACATTATAGGCCGAGGGCTTCTCGTACGAAAGGTTGTAAGGCGCATCATCGCTCGGTTTCGGCTCGGGGTAGGGAATCTTGATTCGATGGGTCTTTTGGAACTTGCGGGTGGCTTCGGCGATCTACGAAACATCAACATGTTAAGTCGCAACGGGAAGATGGGAGATAAACTAACGGAGATGGGGCCGTGAGACTCAATTTCATCGATGAGGTTCTTGATTTTATGGAGCAGGCTATCCGCGCCGCTCAGCGCCTTCGTGTAGTCGACCTTTACCTCCTGCAAAAGTTCGTCGGTCTGCAGGACAAACGGGCTCGCCGTCGCAATGTTGACTGCACTCCTCGTGTTGCCCTGGTGGGAGACCTTGCGTCTTTTGGGGCTCTGCTCCATCTTGAACGACTGTTTGGGAGACCCAGCAATGTTCTGTGCAAGGGGCTGCTGAATTGGAGGCTGACAAGCACACAGGTAGGCTTGCAGACTCACAGGAGCACGACAACCTCAGCCCGCTTGCGCATGCACGACCGCGATGCTGGAAATTTTTTGAAGCGTGGGGCTCCGATAAGAGGTGGGAGAAAATTTATCCCTGACCGATCGCCCGATAAGACACCTAGACCTACTGCAGCAGCCCCACTGGTGTCTTTTACGGGTAAGGTAGTTGCCCCAGACTGTGACCTGCAGCCAAATCGGCCTCCTCTACAAAGGAACACAAAAGGCTTGACGTGATGCCGTTTTCTTTTGGCAGTTGAGTACACTACGAGCCCTAACTTATGCATAAGACTGGCCGAGTGTGCCTAGCAACGTCTACAAATCTGAACGATTTGCATGTGTTCTGTCAAGTCTGTCAAGGCAACTGAGTTGTGTTCGAATGCCCCAGCGGAATGCTTCGGAAAAAAACCCCAGAGACATCGGATGGCAACCAGATAAGGTACTACGGCAGTAGCTCGAGTGCCGGAGCCGGAATACGCACCGGAAACTATCTAAGATTATGTATCCAAGGCACAGCAGGGACGTGTGTGCCTGGATTGACGCACGCAAGGGACGACCAAGCTCCCCGTCTCCTAAATGCATGTGTCTAGGGTCGATCGCCGGTATCGCATTGACATAAACAACAACCAAGCGCATGTTTATTGCTCACAAAAAGCATAATAGTTACAAAGGAAGTAACCGGAGCGGACTCGCATAGTGCTCAGTCAGGTCTTCGGCAGAGTCTTCGGCAAACGGCGCCGCCAGCCGAACCGGACCGTACCGTATGAATTGAAACGCTACCCGTTGCTTAGGTACTGTACAAACTGGCGGATGGCAGTATGCACATACAGTGCAAGTGTCCCATCACTCTGTCCGTTTTTCAGAGGTCGGGATCGAGGTTGCGGGCCGCCGCACTGAGGCACAATACAATTGCCTTTGCGGGGTGTGGATGGGGGAAGCTCCTTCAGGTGTCAGGGGCCCTTTCCCCAGTTCCATTGGCGTCAACGACGACGATGCACCACTGCAGCAACCCCAGGCCCAGGCGCCAAAACATTTAGCCCCGCCACTTTCCGAGTCGCGGAACCTGAGGGGGGGTTAACCGCTGAAAGACACCCCGAGGTAGGGATGCCGAGAGCTGTGCGACCAGCTCAGGTCCAAGCCCACCAGTCAATCCATCGTCCACGTCCTCTTGCCGAGCTCAATCCCGAAGGGGCGGAGCAGCATACACCCCCCGACACTGGACACTGCGATTTCCGCAGCGACGGCAACCCACGGCCTTGGATGCTAGGAGCACGTAGCTGCAATAAATTGATCCGGGACCCCTCGCGCAGCTTCTCTTGAAGAGAAACTGTCCCCTCCTTCACTCCAATCCTTCTCTGGCCTCTCCGCTGGTTCTGTTGATGCTTCTCCGCTACCCTCTTACATTGAGGTAAAACATCCACGGCCTATCCGTCTCCAACGCTGCCCCTCGTCCTGTTCTCCGTAGTCCCGCTCGTGGCCAAAGCACAATCACGATGCCTTCAGCAGCTCTGTATGCGCGCTCATTGAGAGCCTATGCCCGCCATGGCTCCAACGTACGTAGACCTGGATCCACTGGAGGCCTTGCAATGAGCCCGGGCTCAGACTGACTCTCCTGCCATGAACAGCCGACTGCCGTCCTCGCTCGCGCATTCTCTGCGACGGCACGTAGGGCAGAGATCAACAAAGTCTACCCCTCGGCCACCGAGGCTCTCAAGGACATGAAGTCAAACTCCACGCTTCTGTGCGGCGGTTTCGGCCTCTGTGGTGTTCCCGATACCTTGATCAATGAGGTTCTCAAGAAGCCCGAGATCACCGGCCTTACTGCAGTCTCCAACAATGCCGGCACCGACACTTCCGGCCTTGGCCAGCTGCTCAAGACCAAGCAGATCAAGAAGATGGTTGCCAGCTACATTGGCGAGAACAAGACCTTTGAGAAGATGTACCTTACCGGTGAGGTCGAGCTCGAGCTCACCCCTCAGGGCACCCTCGCCGAGCGCTGCGCTGCTGGCGGCAAGGGCATTCCGGCCTTCTACACCCCCGCCGCCTTCGGCACTGTCGTCCAGACCGGTGAACTCCCTCTCAGGAACAAGGCCGATGGCTCACCCGACCAATTTTCCTACCCCAAGGACGTCAAGGTCTTCAACGGAAAGTCCTACCTCCTCGAGGAGAGCATTGCCGGTGACTACGCTTTTGTCAAGGCCTACAAGGCTGACAAGCTCGGAAACTGCCAATTCCGTCTCGCCGCCAACAACTTCAACGGCGCCATGGGCCGCAACGCCAAGATGACCATTGTCGAGGCTGAGCACATTGTTGAGCCTGGTGAGATCTCCCCTGAGGCCGTCCACCTGCCCGGTATCTATGTCAAGCGCGTCATCCAGAGCACCACCGAGAAGAACATTGAGAAGTACACCTTCGCCAAGGATGAGAACGACCCCGATGCCAAGAAGGCGCTCGGCAGCGGCGACACTGCCGCCAAGCGTGAGCTCATTGTTAGACGTGCCGCCAAGGAGTTCAAGAACGGCATGTACGCCAACCTCGGTATCGGCATGCCGATGCTCGCTCCGGGCTTCGTTGGCCCCGAGGTTGAGGTCCAGCTCCAATCCGAGAACGGCATTTTGGGTCTGGGACCCTATCCCAAGAAGGGCGAGGAAGATGCCGACCTCATCAACGCTGGCAAGGAGACGGTCACGCTCAAGCCCGGTGCCGCCGTCTTTGGCAGCGAGGAGAGCTTCGGCATGATCCGCAGTGGCCGCATCAACCTTACTATCCTGGGTGCCATGCAGGTCAGCTCCACCGGTGACCTTGCGAACTGGATGTTGCCTGGTAAGGTCAAGGGTTTCGGCGGTGCCATGGATCTTGTCAGCAACCCCAGCGCCACCAAGGTCGTTGTCACCATGGAGCACACGGACAAGAAGGGCAACCCCAAGATTGTCAAGCAGTGCGCTTTCCCTCTGACCGGCCGTGCTTGCGTGTCAAGAATCATCACTGAATTGGTAAGTCGACAATGCGCTGTTCAAGATGTTGCAACGTAGCTAACACGCGGGTGACAGGGTGTCTTCGACGTCGACTTCGCTCACGGCCTGACCCTGATTGAGATCGCGGACGGTGTGACGGTGGAGGAAATCAAGAGCAAAACCGAGGCGCCATTTGCCGTCGCCGAGGATCTGAAGCCCATGTTGTAAGGGCCTGTACAGAAGATTTTGGATACTGAGCGCAAGGATGGATATACCTGCTGGGGAGGGTTCATTATTGTCATCATCTAGAATGCGGCGTCAACTTTGGGGATCAAAATGAAGCCATGAAATTTACGAATGAAATTATTTCTCGAGACACACGTCTGCTGTGATTTCCTAACTGTTTCATGCCAGCGACCGATAACGCGATGGTATCATAGAAGGTAGGCCTTGGCCCGTACAATGTTTTGGATGCTCCTCACAGCACCAAGATGCCATATTTGCCACTCCTCTCAAGAACCTAAAAAGGACTGTAAAATGTCGTCCAGACGCCTTCTTTTCTTGCGGTTCGGGTTCAACCCTGTCTCGACGTTACCAAGTTGTACCGTGGGCTTCATGAGTTCTGTCGCATTCCGCACAGAATCCTGGTTCTTGCTAGACGACGAATTCCTGAAGAACGTGTATCTCCTCGTGGAGAATAATCCTCTTCGCACGTATGACACGGCGGGTGTAATACCTGGCCTGCCGCCAAGGTGGCCCAATTGTAAGCAAGCCAGGGGCTTGGAGGGGAGAACCAGCTTCTCAGAAACGACGCTCATGTCCGACGACAGGCCAACTCGCTTCAAGTCGCTGTCCTTGATCAACTGGCCAATAAAGGAATATAACCAAAAAGCCCAGGTTTCGAATGGAAATCCCTTGCAAGTTTGTGCTTCATAGCCTGGCACGTCGACGTACATGGACAGGTTGCTCTTCGCAGAGTCTCCCAAGTGATCGAGAAACGCCGGAGCCTCTTGCGCATGAATCGATTTGATGGGCTGGCTGCTGGATAGACAAAAGTTCATTAGCCCTTCGTTTATGTTGCGAGCCAGGCCTTGCAGCTGTCGTGGTTTGCTCTCCTCAACGGAGTCGAAAAGCAACAGATACCACAGGAGGGTATCATTCGGGCCATGCTCAGGTTCTTCCATTTGCCAGCCTTCCTCAACGGCAGCTTCAGCGGCTGCGGCCCAGTCACTCCTCGCGGCATTGACGTCGTAGAGGACGAGCGATGGAAATTTGGACACGTATTTGAGCGACTGTGTAGTCGTCGACTCATCACTCCAGAGCCTCAAGATCCTCAGGAGTGGAAAGGGGTCGTTCATCTCAGTCCAACCCCTGATGAGCCGGTCGTCGACGTTTGGGAACACCATGCGAAGTTCATCGGCTGGCTGAATGATCTCGAGAATGCCAAGGTTTTTCATATTCGCGAGAAGTAACAGCTCATTTTCGGCAAAGGAGCAGTTGCCCGCAATGACCAGATGGGAGACAAAGTCAAAAGCGGTAGACTCGAGCGGTCTGAGGTAGTGACGCAGGTTCTCAGTTGGTTGACAAATGTGCTGGCGGTAGCGATACAGAGCCAACGTCTTTTCATTGTCTTCGGCCAGGAGGGATTTGGAGAAAATCTTCCATGCCTGGAAGCATACGCCCCTGAAGATCAGTGTTAGATATAGTTAGGTATCACTGCCGCATGCGCAGAGGCAGAACGAACCTGTTTTCCAGCAGGCGCCATATCCTCCACAGGTACCTCTTTGGCAGATCATCGCGGGCAAGATGCTGCTCCGTCACGTCGCCAATGTTTTCCGCGACCAAATGCATAGCCATGTCGGCCAACGCCCTGGGACCCTTTCTGCCCTGTCCGCTGCGTCCCTTGCGAGGTGGACGACCGGTTCGCCTGGACCAGTCACGACCATTTTGGTAGGCGTCCGGAGGGCGCGGAGCCGTCACTTCCTTGAAGACCTGTCCCGTTTTTTGGTCAAACATCGTGCTGGTCTTCTTGCGAGGATGCAGGTTCGAGCAAGTACATAGTATAGTCACGTAGTGGACTTCGTTCATACGAGCGCCAGAGATTCCACGATTGAGATGAGATGACAGTTGCCAGTCGGACATCTCTAGATCCCGAAAGGCACTGTGCGCTTACACTGTGCGAAAAAATTCTGCACCTTGGCCCAGTCACCTGGAGGAACAGCGGGTTGACGCGACGGCGCGCAAATTTCGACAGCATCGTCCACAACCGGGGCGCCAGTGCAGGCGTCACGCAAGGCTTTGTAGTAGTAGATTACTAGGAAGAGCGCGGTGGTAAACACGCGGCATTCAGCCAGAGGCGGCGCAGAGAGCATGTATCGCCACGAAAATTTCTCCAATCACCAACACAGCAGAAGCTGCCACGGGTCAGAGGGTAAGTGGGCGAAAGTTCATCCATCTCTCCTCCTATTTCCCCTCCAAGCGCATTCATTGATAACGTGAAAGCCAGAGTGAATAAGGAGGATTGTTTTATGATTAGGTGAAGAGAAAAGAAGAGAAATGTTGAAAGACAGCGCGAATTCTGAGCCATGATATTGGTTTTTTTACTGTGGGCCCGGCCCTGCTGTTTTGCCGGAGCCGTGCCACGACGTGGAACCTATGAGCCATGCCCGGGCCCATCTAGTCGGTACCTTTCTCACTACCCCATCAAGTCAGGACACATTGAAAAGCAACCGGCTTTCCCTGCATCTGGGCGGCTATCTTTCCTGTGCAGGACGATAGTACCAGGGATGACAATAAATACAACAAGGAAGATGACAATAATAATAATGGGTGACAATATCGAGCTCTAGCACAGGGAGAATAAGCGGTCTCACTGACAATAGTGGCTTCTGTTATGGCTTGCAGCTATTTCCGCTAAAGCCACATGATTTTCCATTCACTACCGAGTCATCAATACGCATACTATATCACTTGAATTTGGCCTCCCTCTATCCCCGTCAAAGCCACCAATGCGGTCCAATCCATGATTAAGGATTACCTAGCTTGATACAGGCGAGCAACCGACCCACCAACATTGGCCTCATTCAGTGTTGTTCTCTGCAACTCTCTACTCGGGTCACATCCGTTGCAACTCTTGCCTCATTTTGAGATACCTCATGCAAGCACGCAAGGTAGCGGTCGCGTGTGGCTCGTATGCTAGATTCTCTTGCTATATCCACAAGCGCAGGTAATGCCTTGTTGGAGCCGTTCCCCCCCCTCCAAGCGCGGGGCAAATATCCTGGCGGTGAAAATCGTGGCCAGGACACTGAGGGTCCCTTGACAAGCCCCAAAACACTATGGGCAGCCAATAAAGACGAAGGTGTTTATGTTTGCGTGCCCCGCTAATTATGTGCAGCTAGCGCAGCCCAGGGAATCATTTTGCAGCCCAGCATCGTATCCGTCCGCTGGCCGTCAATGGTCTGTAAGAAGATACTACTGCAACCTGATGATGATTCCCTCTCCGGCCATGTGCCGTGCCTTAGCCTGTGACTCCCTCTAAAAGACAATTAGCTAGTGTACGCAGGAAGAGCCTATAACTTCAATCCATTCTCCGACTCCGAATCCCAAGTCTTCACTCGCCCATTGAAGTTGCCCATCTCGGTGAAGAACCTTGCTGCACCCATCTCCGTTGACTTGCTTGCACACCCTAAAGTCTGCCACCGCTCTGCACATAAATTACCCCGCCAAATCTTGCGCCAGCCGTCTCTGACAAACATCGCACGTCAACCCCGCCAAACCCATCTGCAACTTCCTCCAACACCACAACAGCCACCCAAAATCAGTCAAGATGGCCGGCGGACAACCAGGTTCCAGCTCTCGTGGCCGTGGCGGCAAGTTCAGGAAGTTCACTCGAGGAGGTTTGTGACAAAACGTCGTTCCCGCCGCGGCCTCATCCACACGCTAACCGTCTTGTCATTCAGGTGGCAAGCACTTCTCCCGCGACCTGCGCCCCCTCGACGCTGATGGCAACGAAATCAGCATGTGGAGCGCCGATACCAAGAAGGACGACAGCGGAAGTGACGAGGATGACTCTGAGGAGGAATCCGAGGAGGAGACCGACTCTGATGATGCCAAGCCCCAGGCCGAACAGTCTCGCGCCGACCGCAAGGCCGCAGCCAAGGCCCGCAAGGAGGCTGCCATAGCCAAGAAGAAGGGCCAAGCCGTCGAGGTCGGCGACTTGCCCCCTTCCGACTCCGAGGAGGAGAGCGACGACGACATGCCCGCCAACCCGAATCACTCCAAGGCCGCCCGCAACCAGACCAAGGCGCCCCCCAAGGAGGTCGAGGAGGCTACCGAGGGCGTCAAGAAACTCGCTGTGGCAAACAACCGCAAGGAGCGCGAGAGCATGGAGGCTGCCCTGGCCAAGGAGAGATACCGCAAGCTCCATGAGGCCGGCAAGACGGATGAGGCCAAGGCTGACATGGCGAGACTGAGGCTCATTCGCGAGCAGAGAGCGGCAGACGCTGCCCGTAGAGAGGTATGTTTGGCCCTTGAACCGGCCATTTCGTATTGCAGTTGTCTAACTACAGGTTGTTACAGGCCGAGAAGGAGGAGCGCGAGGCTCAGGAGGCTGCTAAGAGGGCCGAGATTGAGAAGAAGGAGGCCAAGAAGAGAGAGGCTGCTCTGGGCCCGGCCGCTAAGAAGGGCAAGAAGTCCAGCAAGTGAACTCTGCCAAAAGTTCAGGGCACTGTCATTCGTATACCATCGTCCTTCTCGTTCGCAACATACCATGCGTCGAATGTTCGTGTTTGAGCCACAATTTAACAAGATACAGGCTCCACGTATGCTTTTTGAACTTTCCGTGGCAGCTGAATACCACATGTGCTCTCATTACCGGTTTATGATTTGCCGCCATGCGCCAAATGTAGGTACAAATACACGGTTGGCCATGTTTTCAAATGCCAGCCAATCCTTCGGTTCCAACGCTTTCGTGCCACAACTTGTCGAAATCAACGCCCTGCTCCTGGAACAGGTCTCGAATCTTTTTAGCCACCTCGGTCTGCTTCTCAGGCCCGAACCCACCAGGCTGCGATGATTCAAACTGCACAATCTCGATCCAACGGAAGAAGAGATCTTCCTTGCCAATGGCCGAGAGAGCATCCCTGAACGCGAATACCTGCCGTCGCCTGTCATCTTCCTTGACATTTTCGCCCGCCTGCTCAAGAATCATCCAGTCGTAGTCTTCGTGCCACACCAGCACCAGACTCTTGAAGGCGTCCAACGCGACCTGCTTCTTGTCGACGAGGTTGTGAATGAGGACCATGCTGTTCCAGTCGAGATCCCACTGTCCCGTCATGGTGAGATAGCCCGTCTTTTCCTGCAGGAGGAGGGGCGAGGTGGCCTGCCGCACGATTGATTGAAGTGCTTGGTTCTTCTCCTTTTCCTTGAAAATGTCGCCCAGTTGTTGGTCCCACTCCCGGCTGCGTCGGACATAAATCTCCTTGTCGCGGAAGCCAACGTTCCATCGCCATTGAACTGGGTTTCCATACGTCTGACCAAAGACGAACTCGATTGGCCACGGCCAGACGAAGATGAAGAGCATGAGGTCCAGAGTGAAAGAGAAGCCGCGCTTGCCGATTTCCCAAGCAAGCGCGGCCCAAGTTGAGTCGGAAGGCGAGAAGGTCGTCTCATTGGGGTAGCCGGCGGCAGACTGGATGAACTTGAAGTAATAGGGAAGGATGTAGTACATGCGCAAGACGAACAGCGCAGCGACAACGATGTTCATGCCGACGGGCACAAGAAATATCTTCTTCTTGAAATCCTTGGGTTTGGTGTCGATGTGGGTGATGTAGACGTGTTTGCGGGAAAGCGACTCATAAAAAGGCTTTAGAACCTCTGCCGGTTTCTTAAAAGGCGCGGGCGGCGCACCCAGTGAGCCCGGAGGCTTTGACTTCGTCTTCACGACCTTAATCTTTGGCGCCATTATGACAGTCGCGACACTGATATGGCAAGTCGAGCTCGTGAGTTCTACGTATTTGTGGGTGCTTGAGAGCTGTCCATTTTCTCAGGGGCCTAGGGATGAGCGTAAGCACGTCCCTGCACACCCGGCCAGCTTCTACATGGTGGGTTCTGGCGACCAATCAAAACACTTCAATTCTGCAACTTTACTTTGTAGCTCGACAAATATTCCGGGTTGGCAGCTCAAAGCTTTCGCTGATTCCATCAGACTAGCAGCCTTCATGTTGCGCCCCAGAGTAGATCATGCTCAGGTGTAGGATATGGAAAGTACGTCGCAACCCATTGTCAACCTGCTAAATTGCCGTTCTTTCGAGGCTAACACAAATCGTATAGGATCGGAGCAGTGCGTACGTCTGCGCCTTCTGTCGTCACCCCGCCCTGGCGACACAGCGTGACATAGGTCGCCGTAGCTATTCAGAGACACCGAAGCCAACGCCGAATGCTGGTGGATTTCCTGGAGGCTGGGGAAGCAGTAGTGGCATTCCGCGACCTTCCGGTCCGACAGTCAGTTCCGGTTGGGGGAAACCATCATTCGGAGGCGGTTCGCCGCCGGCAAACACGAATGGCTCGGCCACTTCGAACCCTGATGCCCAACAGACGAATAACGAGTCGGCCGACGACGGGCTACTGCCCCACGAACGCGCTGCGAAACTGAGAATAAAGAAGTCGCAGCCGACGCCACCACTGACCCCGCCACCTCAACCTCTGAAGACTGTAGCGAGCTTCGGGGAAAGCTCGTCACCTCGAGAGGGAACCCGAAGCGGTTTGGGTACGGGTCTGAACAAGGCTCGCGTACCGTCCAAAGGCTTCTCGGAAAGGCCACCCTCCGGCCTTGGTGGTTCAGGCGGACTAGGTGGTCG